ACGCTTTTATCACAATAATTCTAGTACTTTTCGTTCAATATTGTTTTAAGCTTATTTTAAAAATTATTTTGAACTTTTTAGTTCAATGTGCTTTAAAAGCGTGTTTTTTAGTTTTTTTAAACTATATTTTTTTTAACACGCTTATATTAGTTTCACCTGTATGTATGTTTGTAACTATCCAAACGCCACGCGTTATCGCATATTCCGTCGTCTAGACTAGACTGTCATAACGCATTCACTCCACGCCTCGCTCATTACACGCCGGCAATACTATTCCTGTATAAATTTATTTTTGGTTATCGTACCCGTACACACGTGCGTGTCATCAATATTATATATATATATATAAACAAATTTGTATTTTGACTGACCATTATCATCCGCGTGCATACGGCTTACGTATATATTCCTACCGCCGTTTATACCTCAGGTTTAACGTCAGTCTGACCCGTCCGCCCACAAAACACGGCTATACCTAATGCATGATACGTTTACGTAATTAAGTCGCTTTACATGTATATATATATATATATATTCTAATTACTATTAAAAATATATATTGACACACTTTATTCTTATTTAAAAATATAGAACTCATTGATTCCGATTACAAAGGAAGAATCCAGTATCGTCATTTTTCGTCACTACCTCCATGTTCCGGGAGTGGGTAATTTACGCGTCTGCTGCTTTCCTTGGATGTGGTAGCCGTTTCTCAGACTCCCTCCCCGGAATCGAACCCTGATTTCCCGTTACCCGTTACAACCATGATAGTAACTACTATCATAACATAAAACTAAAAAGTGAAAAATAAATATAGTTTAAAAAACTATATTTATTAGATTCATAAATCGTAGTAAGAGTAAATGCTCATTATTTATTATTATAGAGGTAAACTTTAATTCATTCAAGTTATGATAAATTCAAAGGTTAGTATAAAATAAAAAAATGTTTAACCACAATAAAAAATGTTATCTTTTAATTCTCTTTATTTGTTTGTTTGAATAATATTGCAAAAGTTTGACTGATAGATAGCGTTGTTTCAAAAACTATACGTTATATAGTTGTGATAAAATTAAATTTTGTGCCTTGAGTTGATAAGTGCCGTCACCTTGCTTTCTAAACACGATGATATTTCAGTTCAGTTTTGAAATTAATACGATTCGGTAGAGTTTGTTGTCAGTGTTATATCGTTGTTAAAAGTTTTTTATGTGCTTTCGATTTCAAGTTATTTATAATAATTATAATGAATGGAAATGGCATCACAAAAGAAGAAAATACAATTCTCACTGAAAATTTCTATGCATTATCAAAAAAACAAAAATATTCATACACGGTGTCGTTAACATCTTGTGGTCTTTATTTACAGAAGAATTTTAATGGTTCTACAAAAACAGACCTAATTCGTGCTAGTGATATAATTGGATGTAAATGCATGCGTAATAATGGCAAATCCAATGAATGCATCTGTCGTCCTGTAAAAAATTCAAATACTTCTAGTCACCAGGTTCGAATACCTTATAATGAAGCATTCGATTGTAGTGCTTATTTGTGTGTCTATGCATATATATTGAAGAATATTGCCACAAAGAATGAAAAAAGAGATAAAATGATTGTCACTTTGAGGTTTCGAAATTATAATAATTATGAAGATAATTTGAAAATTGCTATTAATTGGAAATATGAAATAAATTCTCTTATAAGAACTCGCAATGAAGATAGAATTATAGTTACACCAGCTAATAACCAGTGTTTGAGTATGTAAATCAGTAACTTTTTTAGTTACCAATTTATATGTTTTTTTTATCTTAGTAGTATTTTATAATTATCAATACATTATACAATGATTTCGGATTTATATCAATCATTTAAAAATAAATCCTATTAATTTTATACAATTAATGTCATAGTATTCAAATTTTTGATAACTATAATATAAGTTTTGGCTATAGATAAGTCTGCAAGCATGAATTTAAAATAAATTTTTTAGAAGAACCATTTCACTATTTCTGTAGCATGAGACATATTTTTTGCAAAAAAAATGACCATTCATAGTCATCTTTTTGTGATCACCTTAATGTATGAAACTTAATATTAGCCTAATTTTTTATATACAGTCAAAAATAAATTTTAAATTTTAATTTGTATGATAAATTATATTAGTAAAAATATCAAACATTATATATGCAAAAAATATTTTTCTAGGAGACAAAAAACATAAGCATAAAAAAAAATCAGTTAAAATTACTTATAAAAATATATATTATAGTTCTACTATATAGGGTATTCAAAAAATAAGGAAATAGATTATTATTATATACAATGAGAACAAAAATCACTTTTTTTAAATTACTGAACACCCTATATATATTTATAGCCTGGTTAAGTTGGATTTAATCATTATTTTTGTCATTTTATTATAATAAAATTTTTATTAGGTTTTTAGGATAATTTAAGAATAGTCTGAGCAACAAATACCATCCCACCAAGATAAATTAGCTAAATTCTCTGCTATGTTAAATTAAATACATTTTTCATATTTTAGTATTCAATAATAATTTTCTATTTAGGATTTCTTGTTAGATTTTAGTTCTAGCTACTTCAAATAAACAATACTGAATAGCTAATTTAATTAATTAGTCAAGTGTAAAAATTAATTTTTTATAAATGAGTTTGTTTAGAAAGCTCAAAAAATAAAATTACATTTTATTTGTTCTACTTATAAATTGATGTTATGACTTTCTTTATCAATGACATAATAAATTGGACTAATATTAATGTGTAGACATTTTTAATTTTTACTCTCAATTAATTAAAAACTATTAATTAATACTGTTTCATTTAAGTAATTATTGAGATGCATAGAATCGAAACCAATTAATGTTTGACTTCTGTTTCAAATTGACTTTTTTTTTTTAATTGAGTTTTTAGACTAATTAATAAATCATAAATCTATTAACTATTAATCAATATATTTTATTTCTAGTTATTTCCTTTAGTTAAACCTATTCTAAATATACAATGATAATAATATATTATCAGTCTAAATAATTTAATAACCTATTCTGTAACATCTATTTAAAAAATAGTATTCATTTGTAAAAAAATTTTTATATGGTTTTAGTAGATTTTGTAAACATACATTAATGTATTTGATTTGTTGGTCTTCAATTATTATAATTTGAAGTTTATGTTTTAATTTTTTTTTTTTTTTAGGTGATCGATTGTTAGTAATAGTTAATCCAAAAAGTGGAGTAGGAAAAGGAAGAGAAATATTTCAGCGTAGAGTGGCACCTGTACTAGTGATGGCTGATATTGACTTTGAACTGCATATTACGTGCATGCAAAATGATGCTAGGTAAAAATGAACTTGAAATTTTTAATAGTAAACAAACAAATTTGTCCTTTATTCAATTAAATCTAATAATGAACTTCCTTTTTATCATAACCCTTTAATATTGTTTCATGTTATTTTCCTTATATAATTTAGTGTGATGTATATCATGTAACTGACGTAATAATAGGGGGATAAGAGTATCATATCCCCCATGACTAAAATAATTATTTGGTGAAGATATAATTTGTTTTTTTGTTTGAAGAAGAAATTGAAAAAAAAATTTTATGTAAATTTCCCCCGAAACAAAACACTAATTACAAAACTGCATCATATTACAAAAAGTAAGATACTTTAAAAGACAAAAGTTTATATTAATGATGCTATGAGCCCTGATTTTTAGGATTGAACCAAACCTGAATCGAACTTTCAGTTTTATAATCAAACTCTAAACATAACTGATCTTTCAATTTTTTAGCCAAATCTAAACCAAACTAAACATCAATCTTAATTATTTTCAGATAATTATTATTATCTTAATTATTAAAAATATTTTATGACATAATCAACAATTCAAATGTTCCGGAAATCCTGCATCCTTTTAACATATATTATGCAAATGATTTCGTAGTGTACTATAAGTTTTAAAAAATGTTATTTTTATTTAAAAATCACCATTTTTCATGTTGTTATTATTTTCTATTTCAATTTTTTTTTCAATTATCATTACCTTTACTTCAAGTCAAACAGTATAGTGATATAGTTGGTGAAAATAAATATTTTCATTTCAACCCATTTAAAAAATTAATAATAATATAAATTCTCATAAAAAAAAAAAAATTCAATTCATGTTGTATTCATCACAATCCTTACTATAAATAAAATACATTCTACAGAAATTCATCTTAATGCGTTATTTATAATATTCATTTTAACCAATGTCACATTTTAATACTATTATGGTGAAAACTATTATGGAAGATTTCATAGAGGGTGTCATAAACTTTTATTAAAGTCATTTGTGGTCTGTGTTTTTTGAATATATTTTGACTTTTTTACTCATTGAGATAATTTAGTTGGCAAAATTTACTTCACTCACTAATAAGTATCTTTAGGTTAGCCCCTGTTCATTATTGTCTCATCACTACCATATTATTTTTTTTCATTGTAAACAGCAAAACTTCTATTGTTATTAATATATAATTGAAAATTTGATTTATGCATTTGGTTATTTAATTATTTATGATATAAAACAGAATAAGTTTTTTTTCCAACTAATTTAAGAATACTAATGCTTATTAAACAGAACAATGAAAAATAATTACTCAATTTTCACTTATAATTTTTTTAAATATTCCTTATGATTTCTTCTGTTAATATTACTTAAGTAATATAGTTAATATTTATTAATTACTAACTTATTATTTTTTTATCTATTTATTTTTGAAAAAGCTATCTTCATTTTTTTTTTCTTAATTATTTACTTTGGGTTAGGTCAACAAACTTATTAAACTAGTGAACTTACTTATAAAACTTATAATAAAAGTTAAGTATATTGTATTATATGTAAAGTAACATTGGCTTATTTCCCTGTAAGAAATCCATTTAAAGACATAAATTTTCTTTGTAAAATTTTGTATTGTACTTCCTGAAAAAATTGTATTTACCTTGTTCTATTACTAATGACACAACTGAAGTTTTACTAATTATAAATTAATAAAATGAATTATACTTATACCTAATTATAAGATCTCTAATAATTCTATTTTAATTAAATTCTATTTTTTTAGAAATTTAGTAAGAACTAGTAATATTTATGAGTGGGGTCGAGGTATAGTTGTTCTTGGAGGAGATGGATTAATGTTTGAAGTTATAAATGGTCTTATGGAACGTTCTGATTGGCAAAGAGCTTTTGAGTATTTAACTTTAGCTATTATTCCAGGTGGGTCCGGCAATGGATTAGCTAAATCTATTGGTTATGAAACAAAGTAAGTTCATTGAAATTTTTGATGACAGCAAATGATATAATAAATTTTTAAATTTTATAGTGAACCTTACATGCAGGACCCTATAATCATATCAACATTAAATGTAGTAGGAGGTAATAGTCGCCCAATGGATTTAGTTAGAGTTGAAACTCTTTCACAGGTTGTTTATTCATTTCTATCAGTTGGTTGGGGATTTATTGCTGATATTGATATAGAAAGTGAACGATTGAGGATATTAGGCAATCCTAGATTTACAATTTGGAGTATTGCTCGTCTCATTGGTTAGTAAAAGCTATTTACATGTCAAAAACTCTGTTATTTATCTAAAGTGGTTTTTTTTTTTTTTTTTTTTTTTTTTTACCAGGTTTAAAAACGTATCGTGCTAGGTTATCTTATAGTAAAGTTAAAAATGTTGAAGCTAAAGTCAGTAATTTTACTAAAAATTCATTTTTTGATTGTAAAGATATTAATGATGATGATGAAACTGTATCAGTTGAATTTGGAATGGACCCAGTTAGTGTAACTAATTAATATTTTTTCCATTTTTTTTTTAAGTTAAATTTTAATGATCATCTCTATATAAATTTTAGTTAGAAGAGTTTGATTTTCGTGAACGAGTTGAAAGTTTTTCTTCGGTTATTTCAAAACGCTCAGCATTTATGTCAATTCATGAATCATCAAGTTTTACATCAATTCCTGATATAATTGAAGAATCAGATATAAGAATGCGTGGTCCTGCACCAAAAATACCTCCTTTATCTGAACCAGTTCCTTTAGATTGGGAAATTTTAGAAGGTAGATTAATTTTTTATGTTAAAATAAAATTGTATTATTATAATTAATCTTACATTTTCAGAAGAATTTGTGATGATTCATGCTTCATATTTATCTCATATTTCTGAAGATTTAATATTAGCTCCTAATTCTAAATTAAATGATGGTGTTATATGGTTATTAATTGTTAAAAGTGGTATATCCCGAGCTAGTTTTCTTCAAGTATGTAGTCTACTAAAAAAGAATAAGCTTACATAAAAATAAATGTTTAGTTTTTGAGTCTAATTATTTCTTAGTTTAAAAATATTTTTTTAATTAAGAAAAATAAACTTAAAACTTTTAGGATTTTTTTAATGATATATGAAATTTTAATATTTAATTGTTTTAAGTGCCTTTAATTAATAATCAAATTTGTATACTTTTATTTTGTTTTAGTTTTTATTAGCCTTATCAACAGGAAACCATTTATCGTTTCCTTATGTTCAAATGATCCCCGTCAATGCATTCAGGTTAGAACCACTATCAGGAGGAAGTCATATTGTAGTTGATGGTGAATTATTAAAACATAGCCCATTGCAAGCTGAAATTATGCCTGGAGTAACAAATGTTTATGCTCGACAGAAACATTAATTGTATGTTTGAACTAATTTTTTATGGCTCAGGGAAACTTATTTTAAGTTTAACTTTACTATAATCTATTTACCTTTTACTTGTAATTATACTTTTTCTTTGAGTTTTTTTTACTATTTTTTAATAGTATTAAAATATTTTTGTTAAATTTAAAGCCCAATTCAAATACCTGTTTACAAAAAACAAGTTAGATAATTAATTGTTATTATTATTATTTAAAACAACTTATTTTTCTATAATAATACTTACCATTATTTAGTTAAAAGTTTTTGTTAGTTATGCTCAATATCTCATTATTACCAAAGAGTCTATTTTTATTATAATATGAATATGTTAAAAAATATATGCAATATATTTTTGTATTGCAATTTATTAAAAGTTACCAAATTTTTTATTATATTTATTTGTATTTACTTTTGTATGCCTTTAAATAGTAAACCTGTTTGATAGTTAATTGTAAGTTAATTTTAGGCATTAAAAATTAATGTTTATTGTAATGACCAATTACTAAAATTTAAAAAAAAATAAGTATTAAAAAAGCCTACGTCAGATTTTGATATACAAGTTAAATTTTTAAAGTATTGCCAAAAAATAGAAACATGAAAAAAAGGTGTTGACTATTTACAGGATATTGTTATTTGAGCAAATATCTAAATGCAGGGATAGTTTAATGAGTGTTAAAAAAATATACATTTGCCCTTTCAATGCTCATTGCAATCATTATTTTGATCAGTATTAGGAAACAAAATAATTTCGATTTTTGGTATTTAGTAAAATTGATCTATCTATATCAAATTTATTAAGTATATATTAAATAAATGATTGTTGGAACCAAAAATATTATTTAACCACCTTTGAAATCATAATTAAACTTAAAATTTGTTCTTAAAAAAATTTAAAATTTTTGGTTTTAAAGTTTTAAAAGTGATTTCATAATATTTTTTGTTTCTACAATTATTAAATTAAAAAATTTGAAATAGGTCAAGCAATTTTCTAGATATGGTAACACATTTTCAAATAACTTAAAGCATTCGCGTTTCTAGCCCTGATTTTGACCCCATTAAAAAAAGGAAATAAAGTACTCATATCATGAAAAATATGGAACATTATAATTTTTTTAGCTAAGATGCCTTTAGCTGTTGTTTGCATCAATTATACCTATATTTATTTAAGGAATTATTTTCAAGGAAATATGAAATGGAAAACTTGCATCTAGATATTAGTTTATATCAAATGATTTATGAATCAGTTTATTTCTTTAAAAATGTACATTAAAATTCAAATATCCTCACATTCCTGAAAATAATTTTACTAAATCATTTACAATGAAAGTCATATTGAATTTTGTTAAAATAATAAACAATAATTTATATTAAATTTTTTCATAACACTAAATGATTTTCTTAACACTTAAAACTACATTTTAATTTCAGTTCTTAAATTAAATTAAATAATTCTAATGTGCACATTTATATTAATAATTACATTAAATATTAGATTACATGCTTGAAATAACAGTATCATATTTACTACCCAACCAATCCTTAAATTAGTTAATTATTACTAAACATACATTTATTTATCAAATATGAAAAACTAGATTGAACCTAAAGTCAATAATACAAAACAATTTAAATTGTATAAAATAGTGTTAAATTCAACATGAGAAAACAAAAATACATTTTAATAATTTTTGGGAAACTTTATCTCTATTTATTTAATTTTAAGTTTGATATATTATTTAATAGATCTTGTAATTCAGAGCTGACTCGTTCTTCAGTGTCTGAAATTTTCAATCTATTTTGGAACACATTTAGTAATTCTGACTCATCTGAACTACCTTTTTGCTTTTCAAAATATGCAAGTAACATGTCAATTACTTGCAGCACTGTTTCTTTAACAGATGTTGAAGTATCACTTCTACATTGTGTTAGTAATCGTAATTTGGACTGGGCCAAGTGTAAAGGGCTTCGACCTTGAGCATCACAACTACTTACATCAGTTCCTAAATATTAGAAATGTTAAATATATGTTGGCAATAAAATTTAATAAATAATTTTATATACCTCCTTTTAAAAGTAATGTCACAACCTCCATATGATGAGTGCAGGCAGCCAAATGCAATGGATTGTTTCCCAAAGAATCTTTAATGTTTGGATTGGCACCATATTTTAACAACAATCTGAATCAAAATTTAAACAATATATGATACATACTAATCATTTTTTTAAAAAGAAAATGCAAGAAAAAACCTTGATTTTTGTTCAAATATATTAATACATTTATTCTTACCTTACTGCTTCAGTATAGCCTTTACATGCAGCCAAATGTAAAGGTGTTCGTTTCCTGCTATCCCAACAATTAGGATTAACGCCATTTTTTAGCATTTGTTCCAACAATTCAGTATTATTCATGCTTGCTGCTCGACATAGTCTATGACTATCTAAATTCATCATATAAAGAGGTCAATCTTCTATGTTTACTAATTAAAATGTATCTCATTCAAATATTACCTCTAATATGAAGGGCTTTTTTCCTGATATATGAATACCCTTTGCATGGATGAACACGACAAGGGCCAGCATTACTTCTTGAATTAGAAGAATTTTTCTTTTCCATTTCTAACAACATTTCTGTGTACTCTTGAATAGGAGTTAAACACTGCATAATAAAAATTATGAATCAAGTATAGTCTTTAAATGTGCTATGTAAATAAAATATTTAATCTTACGGATTGAAATCTGTCTAATGGGCCAGGAAAAGAAGGATTAGCCAACTCAAAAAGACACTTCAGTTTGCGTCCTGGAATTTCATCTAATAGTGGTTTCGCAAAAACAAGTGGTTCTGAAACCGTGTTTAAGCAAAGTGCAAGTGGAAATTCTTCGTTTTTCATTTTACTCGTTGAAACCAATGCAGTTTCAGCGCACGATACTAATTTCTGGCTAAGTTGTGGCTGCGCACATTCATCATTGTCAGTGCTACTTTCAACACCCGAATCGTTCGATGTCATTTTAAAATTATATAATTTGAAATAAAAATACTAAAAAGATTAAAGTAACTAAAAATCTGTTTTTGTTTTCACCTACATTTTAAATTAATGTCAATAACACCTAAAAATAATTTATTATTGTTTTGTTTCCTTGTTATCATATGACGCCTTATCATAATTGTTGCTATTGGAAAAACTAGAAAATATTAGTACACATCGCAATACATCAGCTGATTTGATGAACCAATTAAATGAATTAAAAGAAACTGGTTGTTTTTCAGTTTTTTTAATTCAGTATAGAAATATTTGAACTTATACAAAGAGAGATTACAATTTATATTTATCCAATAGTTTAAATATATTGTTTAGTAACTATTAATCAAAACTATTCGAATCCGACTCTAATTAAAATTAATTGAAAAGCTATTAAAAAATAATAAGAGCCGAAACTTATAAGTCTATATTTACATATAAAATGTGTATTTAATTGATGGTATGTTATTATTGGAAATTAAATACAAATTTAACTGTCAATTATCACATAGTTGTCTTAATTATAATCTACTACTATTTCTCAAAATCATTTATATTTTGAGAATGATATTACTTAGTTTAAATTTTATATTGACAATAAAATAAAGCATTTCCAATGTTGTCAATTTAAAGTTATTTAGGTTGTTATATGTATATATTTATATAGTCTTTTACTATTAGAATTCCAGTCAATGTCAAATTTTTTATTTAAATAATGCACAGATTTTTGATGATAATTTCTTAGCAAAAAAAATAGGATATCTAACTATAAACCTTAGTAACATATAAAATTCATAACTTAAATAACTTTTATTATGTATAAATATAATATTTTTAATTGAATATATTTCATATTAAACATGTTGATTAATTAATTGTCGTATAGCAGGTATCCAAGTATTACACTGTCGAGTATGGTCAACCATTAATGCCATTTGGAGTTTGTTTGCTTCTATATAATTTTCACTTTCAATTGCTAAAAATTATTATTATTATTATTATTATCAAAATTAAAAAATATTATTACCTTTGACCAAGGCTATTGTTTTTTGCTGTACAATATCTGTAAACTGACTGTCATTCCAACTTATTTCTAATCTTGATAAACGTTTGCTTATGTCTGCCTTTTTAGACTAAAAACACAATTAATGAATAAACATTTTATAAGAAAATAGTATATTGTAGTAATATTTACATCTGGAATTGATGACTTTTGGATACAATCATTTAATGTGGTTATTACATATGAAAACCTTTGTTCAACAGGAATATTATAAATTGGTTGAGAATTATCAATTTTTTTTACAACATTGGAAGAGTATTCATTTGTTTCTAAATTTGTTTGGTTAGAAATTTTATGACCATCAGAATTTCCTATTACCCGTGCAGGAATTCTATCAAATATTTTTGGACGATTTTCTTGTTGAGCACTGACTGAATCTTCAAATGAATACGAAGGTGGATCATTCCAACCAGGAGTATATGCTGCAAAAGTTAATTTTGTTTTACAACACATGTTTTGAATATATATTATTAATTCTTTTAAAAAATGATACTCAATATCACATAAAACTTACCCATTATTATATGTTACAGAAACTAATATAATACAATGGTTAGAATTTTTGTAAATTAAAATTATAATTTTATTTAGCTATTTCTTTAATACGATATATATAAAATGTAATAGGATATTTTATATTCATAATAACAATGAGTAATGCAAAAAATTCAAAATTTTTGAAAAGAAGTTCATCTTACACGGCACTGATAAAAAAACTTATGTAAATTAGTGTAGAAGACAGATATTGTTATTCGTGTACAACTTATCAATTATGATAACGTAATACTGATAACCGCATTTTTACAAGTTCTATAGATAACGCATAATATAAAGAGTGACAGTTACCCAATACAAAAATATACACCATAATTCTTTTCAAAAGTTAACAGTAACCAACGTTTTATAATTTCAAGAAATCCGATTGGTTTTATCCTCCTTAAAAATGTTAACGACTTTAATTATTTTAATGGACACATATATTTAATCAAATACAAACTAGAATTAGATTTATTTAAGAATATAACTGGTCGTTAACAACTTTTGGACTAGCATTTTAAAAGATATTAACATTTTTATAATAAGGCAGTAGGAGTTGTGCGGTTCATTTATGTCTAAAGATAAAAATAAACTGACACGAGCTTTACATCTAGACATTCTATTAAAGAGTTAATAACTTTCAAAATACTATTAGTTCAAAAGTTGTTATTTTCTTTATAAATCATTTTCTACTTTGTAAATTGGTTAAAAACATATGTGTTTCCATTAAATAACTAAAGTATATAAAATTTTAAAGAGGATAAAACCTAATTGTTTTCTGAAAATTACAAAACGTAAGATATTAATAACCAAGGGGATAGTAAAGGGATTTGATTAATAGTTAGAATAACAATGTACCATTAAACATTCTTTATAATTTTTTTTATTTAATTACTACAAAGAGATTTCAAATTATAAAAAAATGTAATTTAATAGAAAACCGAAAAGAACAGTTATATAGTACAATTTTACAAAACTACGTTTGTAATAGTACCTAATATTGAACTATATTCACTACAGAATCACACAATCTTATATAAAATAATATCTGTTTTAAGTTATTAAATGTAAATAAAAATTTTAAACCCGTCGGAAATAAATTGAAATTATCAATTGGTATTGATAGTTTATAAATAATATTCGTATAATTTTTTTTTAATAGTTAAAATTAAACGATTGTTAAATTTTCTACTTTTGATCAGTTGAAATTCATATTCTCTAGCACGACTATCATAATAAAACAAGTTAATTCTCTCTCTCAGAAAACAGTTATGAAAAATATGTCTAACTATAGAACGATATGGCCTAATAGATAATGTTGATATTTCTCATGCCCACTGCTACGGGAGACCCGTGTGATTAGTGAAAAAGACTTATCTCTGTAAACACATTCTGATAGGGACTTAGTCTCTTAAAATTAAAAATACTGTATGAATTATTTTATAGATATAGATTTTTCGAGATAAATCAAATCACACTTGTTGTACAAGTTAAAACTAAATAAACACTTGCAATTAAACAGAAATATTTTAATTGTATCAGCTGTTTTTAATTTTTCAAATAATAAACGTTTCACCATTGAAAAATTGAAAAATGTATATATATATATCAGGTGATTGAATATACTAAAATTTCTCATATATACTAGAATAAAATCTTAGTTTTAATGTTAAGTCTAAATCATATTAGGAAAACGTTTGTTACATTTTTTGTTTAATAAATGGCATTATAACAAATAATATACTTCACTTTACAATTAATATACATAAGAAGAATAAGTTGACTTGTCCCCAAAATGAGTTATTTCCAAATTATAGTACACATTTTGATTATCTACAGTTCAGTCCAAAACTGATATATCTATCATGGTTGTAGTATAAAATAACATGGTGTGAATGAATGGAAAGAATCAAGAAAAATATTTTTATGATATAAAAAAGATATTTTTTTTATTTAACTAGTTAAACAAGACTAAATCTTTAATTTAAAGCTATAAATAGAATATTTATAATCTCAGAAAAAAATAAAAATATTTAGAAGAAAGTGGTTTATCATATACCCGAAGAGTTGATAATTTTTATTAATCCCTCTTTCATTCAAACAATGAATTAGCTCTTTCAAACAACTAAATAATTAGTCATTATCAGTAATGGGCATTTTTGAATATTTTAAACTATTGAACATTTTTTATACAGCTAAATATTAGTTTATTTTTAGCATAAACTATCAATAATTAAAAAATTATTGAATATTTATGTAATTGAATAAGTTATTAAATTACAAGCAAATAGTTCCATAGTTACTATTTGATATTTCCTATCACTAATTATTATAGTTTAGTGCAAATGAAAAAAAAAGTTTAAATGAACTTTTTTTAAACTCTAATACAGTTATTAACTATTTAATCTCAATTTAAAGAAATTGAAAAAAGTAAATAGATGGTTGAAAATTCTGAATACAAATTCAGAAAATTAACTCATTATGATTAATTTTTTTTATGATAACACATTTTTATCAAATAAAATTATTATTATTATTACCTGAATATATATTATAAATAATTGTAAATAATTTATCTTCAACTAACTCGCAATGAGTTTTGAATAAATAAATATAAACATTTAGTAAGCAGTTAAATATTTTATAATTTTACAAATTTAACCACTTTAAATATATAATTATAATCTCTACAAAACATTACAACTAAGCTTTTGCCTTTTTATTAGCTCTTAAAGATTCTAACAATTCTTTTTCTTCAGGAAAAATTGGATCAGGCGAATCTAAATAAAAAAATTCTTGATAAGGTAGTCGATCTGCAAGTTTTGTGCTCCAATGATGTACACGACATTGTATGGCTGCTCTTTCTTTCTTGTTAATCTGCCAAAACGTATAATTATACTACATGTTCTTTATGTTAAATAAACTTATTAATTACAAAATTTAAGACAAAATAATTATGTTTATAAAAGTTATTTTTATTTTGAAATAAATATATCTTGTTAATTAATCACCAAAAAACAACAGTTTCAAGTTCTACAGAATTTTCATCTAAAATAAACATTACGCTTTTTAATTGTTAATAGCGCTTGATTCATAAAATATGTAAATATCCCAATCTGTTATTTATAACTTTACAAATAATATTAAATTTATATTTTAATTTTAATTTAACATAATAATCAATAACAATGTAAAACCATAAATTTTAGTTTATCTCTATTATTACCACACTATGTCTATTTTGTTTAAATATCTTAATATTTTCAATCATTACTAAATAAATGTTCATTTTAGGAGATTTCTATCATGACCTTGATGTAACTATTATCATAATTTAATAATAATAAAAAATTACACATTATGTATAAAGTCTATAACGAACTTAACAAAAGTTTTTATATATATTCTTATAATAAAAATTATAGAATTAATTTTCCTTTTAAAAATTTAATTAATAAAATCAACTCAAAAAGAATCTTAATAAATAATTTATATAACTCTTTAATATAAAAGTAAAATTACTCACAGTAACATATGAAATAAAAGATTTCCCTTCTAACGTAAGATTTGGACCACTAATTGGCTTTTTAGGTATTTCAATACAATCGTCATTTAAAACATGAATGTTCATTTTACGTAATGCCACTCTAATATGCCATTTTTCAATTGTCCATGGTTCATCTTTATTCATACATACACCCAAAACCATATTTTGAAGGTATTTCATAGTCTAAAAACATTTTAATAATATATTTTTGAAAAAAATAAGTATAACTTCATCCAGTGAGAATGTTTTTTTTATTAATAAATGAATTATCATAGCTAGACTTCTTTCTACATTAATTAGTTTATTATAATTGTTAGTCACTAACGGTAAGCATAACCAATAACCCAACATTTTTAATTTAAAAAAAAAAAAATTACAATAATTCATAATTAATATTTTACTTTTAAAGAATAAATGGAACTTGGTTTTTCTTCATCTCTGGCAACATACAAATTGTTTTTCATGTTTTCAATGTTTTCAGGAGAGGCATAAACAGCTAACTGTGGCAAAAGAAGATGATCATAGGCAAATGATGGCTTAACAGACACTATTTCACCTTTATGTCCCAAACCTATTTTTATTTCAAACTATTCATTATCATTGTTTATCATAATAATAATACCTTCAACCTTTTTTACCTACCTTCAATAAATGATGTTAAAATAACATCTATATTTTCTTTTTTCTTAATATCTAGATTTTCAACAACATCATAGACAAAATGTCTTCCTTTTAGTACTGGTTTCTGTTTTGAATTTTTCTTTTGTAATTGAACTGGATTGCGTCGTTCTAATATAACTAAGGACTATTAAATAAAAATATATATTTACATTTAAAGAATATATAAATAAATGAGACTATAAAGTATAATTGTTGACTATAAGGAAAATAGATTTTATAATGATAAAAATAAAAACTAATATTTCTTTTTCAGTGTGTGATTTAATATTGCTATCATATATTTTAACAAACATTAATGCATAAATTAGAAAACATTAAAAATAGTTTAAAAAAATGTAATTAAATATCATTTTAATTTTGTATAACAATTACATAAATGAAAAAAACATTTTAAGTTTTTCATACAAAATTTAATTTGACATGAAAATCATATTGGGTTCCGTTCTTACCCGACTAAATTGATAAATTGTTTTTTGCGCTGAAAGCAATTTAAAACTATTTTTGACAATGCCATCCATGGCTTAATGATTAAACTTTAATTCAAGATTTTCTAATCTTTAATACTCTTCTCTATAAATGTATAAATGTGCCCAAGTGTTTATCAATTTAAATGATAACAACACCGATCGACTGGGCGCACTGGTTTCTCTACAAGTGAGAAGTTAATATGATAATAGATAGCATTGGCTTAACATTAAGATAGAAAACAATCTTTAAAATCAGCTTCAATATTTATTTCAAAAAATATATATAAATAAGAAGTACGGTAAGGCGTGAGAAAAAATGATATTTCAATGGTGCAAGTTGACATTCATTAGTTTAACTCTTGAAATACTTAATAAACGTATTCCCAGATTATAGATTGAAGTGTCACCTCGTCCCTCTTCAAATTAAAGTAATTTTTGATGAATTTTAATATTTTTAATTAATCTATCGAATAATTTAAAGCAAATGAAAATTGAAGAGTAAAAATATAATAAAAAAGAGTTATAAGAGAAAAGAAGAAATTGATATGGTAATCCTCTAAAGTATGCTTTTGGAAAACTTAATTTTTTCAGTAACGCAACAAGTTCGACTAATTATAAGCAATTTATTTTATATACAGTGATTCTTTTATCACGAACCAATTAACTAATAGAAAAATGAAAATAATAATGCAAGTTTTTTTATAAATTTCTTTTAGTTACATCTTCTTCTCAATTTACCAATCATTGAGTATTTTTGAGCAATAACACGCGAATTACCTTTAGTCATTACTTTAGATTGTTATATTTCAATGTATGACGTTATATGTAATTGTTTATTTATAATTTATTCATTTATAAACAATTGTTTTGTATGCGCTTGATATATTTAAATATATTTCCATAAAAAGTTCACAAAAATTGCTGTATTTCTTTAAACTCAAAAAGATCCAGCTCTCCCCTTTTACAGACTATATTAATTTTTGTATGATTATTGAATAATATGGGAACCATAATAATAATCTTATCCAATAGAAATTTGTTTAACATGCATAGATTGTTACTATGTTTTGATAACATTGTATAGCCATTTTTGTAGCTACTTGAATAATCATTTTATATCCGTTATAATTAAAGGTAAAAACCCGTATAACGATTCCATAGGTTTGCAGAAAATACAAACGTCACCTTATACTCTCTAATTAAAATTTATTTTCATTACTAATATATTTAATTTTTAATTTCTGTCGGAGATGTAAATAAAAAAGAAATATTAACAATTTCATAGGAAACATTAGACTCGTATAAAATTATTTAATTTCGTAACTCACTTTTAAAAACACTTCTCTACTTATTATTTCAGGGCAGGCAGAAGGGCAAAGCCACCAATGCACTTGCGCGTCTCACACGTATAAATAAAAAACAAAAAAAAAGTTCTCTTTTACTACAGAAATATAAAAAGGACCCTGTGAAAACGTTTTTGTGTTGGTCTCCTTAAATATTTATCGCGTACACTGTACTTTTTTTAACCAATTATAGATTATTATACAAATAGGAGATAGTGCAGTTGGTATCCACTGGTATCCAGTTGGATACCAGTGAAACGAAGTTTTAACTTTTACCCAAATGTTCATAAGCAGTCGGGTTTTCCCAGGGCTTTTATTCAAAACAGACTAATTGCCGACTACAAAGACATAAATAATTGGGACGTGAATAAGTACACATGACTCGCAATTATTTTAAGAAGTTTGAGAAAATACCAAAAAGGGTTGTCGCGTGCGAATAGTTTCCACAATAATAAAGTTTTAATTGCGATCCAACGTGCTGTGAAGTCAACTCGATGAACACCAGACGGACAGGCGACCGACGGTCAATTATACATGATGTCCTGCTGACACGGTTCCTATTATAAACACTGGGCGACGTACACACGGCCTACAATCAAAACCGTCGCTCCCACGACTACTACCCCAGCAAAATAATGTGTTCTTCTTGTTTTGTATTTTTACAAACAATGCCGAACAAAAGGCGTGTAATTTTTTACTAATGTGTACTGCCTACGGCGATACTTTCGACTTGTACATGCCGTCCATATTATTTTAAACAAACGGTAAAATATTTTACCTTTGTAGTCAACTTTCCTATTACTTATTATTTTTTTACCCGAAAATCGGTAATGTAATCACAGTGCGCATACCCAAAAGTTATTCAGAGTAACTAAAATGAAGAGACGCGTTTTCTTTGTACTACCTCCTGTTTGACACTATTTATTTTTCTTATTTTTTAAATCGATAGACTCATTCTGCACCACAAAATATCAAACAGCCGCATCTTTGTTTTAATTCTCAAATTAACAAAAATAACAATCTATTTTAAATTATAATTTATTACTAAAATACATATTCATAATATCGTATATAATATTTTCTTATTCACACCTTATCACTAAAGTCATTCTATTATTTGTATTATGTACATATATAATATATGTATATGCACATATATATTAAATAATCTATACAAATAACAGGAATACGTAAGTTTAACGTTTTTATACTATTATTTGTCGCATAACAAACGTATAATTATAAATTATATAATAATTTATATTTACAACAGTTATTTACAAAATATTTTGCCGCTAGGCTACGTAGTAAAAATAATATCATTCTTACATAGTATTAAATATATGATGTTTATATGTTTATTAGAGCTAATAAATTTTATTGTAAATTTAAATAAATATATGATGTACATCCGAATAAATAATATAATTACACTTAGTGTTTCAGTCTAAATAACAAATACGCATTAATGCTACAACACATTTACATAAAAACAAATTTATTTCACTATATCAATTAATAGATAGTAAATTTTTTTTTTTTTTTTTTACGTAAAGCATATCTCATAATTGTTTTTGGGTAACATGTAAAATTGTAAAGTAATTTTTTAACCAAAACCGGTGGAAATAAGTAACGGAACTGTTTGCCCGTAAACAGTTGAACGTGGTGCGCTTAGACTTCAGCGCGAAAGGAAAGTGTAGTCAAGAAAAAAAAACGTTTGAGGAAACTGCAAGTTTCCCTCAAATCGGACGGTTATAAAGTGTAAACAATTAATATTTCTTTGTTAACGCTCAACAAAGTGATGGCGTTATAAACTACCCCCAGACGGTACGGTTAGTGGACGTATTCGTTGACCGCGTAGTGTTGGGAGTCCACAATTACGCCGTGATGGGCGGGAGCAGACAAAGCTGCGCCGACGGGTGTTAGCGTTTGATACGCTGCGTGTTGGTCGTCGTGTCCCATGAGCATCGAGGGTGGCGTGTACCCTCCGCCGCCGCCGCCACCACCACCGCTCTGGTGACCAAGCAGCCCCCGATCACTGCTCTCGTTAGAGCTCGAGCAACTGGAACCGGAACTGTACGGCCGCGAACACGTCTGGTCGTATGGATAAAACAAGTCCGGATAAATGTACTCTTCATTTGTATACATGTTGGGCATAACGTTGAGACCGTTGGATTGCAGTACATGTGATTCCTGAAATGACAATGAGGTGTTAAAAAATTATCACCCACACAAATGTTTGAAATAACACAACAGTAGCATTGTTTAAACAACGCATTAATGCTTGGACTAAAAAGCTAGGGTTTTTTTTTTTTTTTTTTTCAAATTTTGTTTAACCTTTAAATATTTTGTCCATGTTGAACTAAAATTGATTATTCAATTAAAACTATTTGATTTTCCAACTCATTACAACATAGCTAGAAATATGGAGAGCGGTAACAATAGACAATCAGTTTTTTTATGGTTAGGTAGAGGAAATATGTCATTCCCGTTGAAACCTTAATTCAGAGAACTGTCAGCAACCTCGTTTAATGTTCTGTTATTTGTAATAAAACCAATATTTCTTTACGCTTGTGGTACGATTTCTCTTTAAAAAATGAACTTCAGTATTCACAAGCCATAATAACTACATTTATTCTGTATTTTTTATATTTTACCCCTGGTAGAAACTATAAAACACACAAAAAGGGGAAAACGAATACATTCTTTCTTTTGTGGTCTTTTAAAACAAATCGTTTCTACGCTTGTTTAATCATTTATATGTGTATATAAAAAAAAAAACTGAAGTAAAAGTCGTAAAAAAGGGCTCGAGGTAAAATTACGGGCATTGGTTTTTTTAATCTCGACATCATATTTTTACATAATTAGTGTTCGGTTATATTAAATGTAATACAATATGTTGTATCATTTTGCACCGATTTGACTAAAAAACAAACGATTAAATTGAGACTTACGGCAGTGGTATTGACGTAGTCGTTGTAAAGTCCACCGCTCGAGTCACTGTATTCTTCGTCAGTTACCACTGGAGGTCTGTGGTATCTGTGGTTGTGACTCGGTTGCCTGTGACTTTGAGGTGTTTTTGGTTTATTTTGGATCGCAGCGGTTTCTTCGTTTCCGTTTTGAATTGCTACGTTACTATTGTGTACCGACAGACGGACGTCTTTTACTTCGGACTCGCTATAAATAATGAAATTATTAATTAGTCTTTAGAAACAACCGCAGTTTCGAATAGCGGTCACTAATTATTTACCTCAATACATAATTGACGCTGACTATACAATGCGGTCTGGATGACCGACTGTTGTGGACTATCGTGGCATAACTCTGTACCCAAACCCAACCACCGTCTCTGGCCAACAGTCTGTAGTATTTTGTAGTAACTTGACCTTTTAATAACACTGAAAACAAAGTACAAGCACATCAATTGCTATTCGTTTCATAAAAGTTATACGTGGACACTCACGAGTGTGATGTGAAAATCTCATGTGCATGATGTCACAGCCGTGTATGTAGTGATAAAGTGTTTTCTCAATTAAGTCTTGTGGTTCGTAGCCCGTCAGTTGAGATACTCTGTAATTTAATACGTACACATGATAAAACGAAACATCATACTTTTTTATGTGTGTGTGTATTGTAAAAAAAAGAATAGGTAAAACAAAAGACCCCTAGATTGATATACGAGCAATGTTTCAACAAAAAATGGACACGTGTGCAAATAGAGTAATCGATCGTCATTAAATTTACTCGTGTGACTTGGAGGTTACTATCAGATGATTTAACACATTTCTTTTTTTTTTACTTAAAATTATAAAAATACAAGAGACTTCGCGTTAATGTGAACATAAAATCTATTCCATTATAGAAATATTAATTTCGTGCATCACTGGATAAAACAACGGCCTACCTGGCATCTAAGAAGATGAGTTTCAAGTCCAAACTAGCTCTGAACATGAACATATTAGAGTGTAATTTGATTTCGGTGATGGCGTGTGGCGGAAGCGAGTGACCAACCGCGACCAGACCGACAGTCTCCAAACCCGGAAATTGTCTAATCTTCAAGTATCCCGAGCAATGGATCACCTGTAATCAAACATAAATGTTACACTGGTTTTCCAGTTAAATATTAAACGACCTCTCGTTGCCTTTAAATATTACATTTTAGAAATACTCGTTGTTTTTTAAAAATACGGCAGAGCGTTTTATCTTCGTTTGTCGATTAAAACGAAACTCATTTTGCTATTCGTTTTTTTTTTTTTTTTTAATTACTTTAAGGTACTCATTTTATTGAAACGATAACGAATCTTATACTGCTATTGTCAAACAAAATGTTCATGTTTTTTTTTAATGAGAGTATCAGCTTCGACGCAAAACAAAAAAGCGATAGTGTTGCACCCCATACCGACACGGATACTCTGCACTTCCCGCGGCCCAAAATGATTCCCAATGTTCGCACAAATTCAATAGCATCGAAACGGATGTGTTTTCACACGTCTAAACAAATAACCATCGGCTATCGATACACACACGACGCCAAGTGCGCATAACACATACACAATCATATTTATTGTAGTTATGCAGTGTGCGTTATAATAAACACGGTTCAATATGGTTACATTATACCAGTCACGGATGTGGTTACAATGCGATTGTGAAAATCTCGACTATTATCATGATGATTATTATTATTATTATCATTATAAAGTAAGAAAAACACATACGTGTCCGCGCACCGGACCCGCTGTAAAGGTCACTGCATAATCTTGCACGGGTAATAATAGACACCGTACGCTCGTGTTTGTAGGTAATACGTGCGTGTGCTAGGAAGGTGTCAAGAAGTCCATTCATAATGACCGAGACGTGACTACGGGCGAAAAGACGAGATTTAAGTGTTGGAATAAATTAAACGCGGGTCGTCTTTTTTCACAGGTGTGCGATGATATTTTCCGTCCGCGGCCTACGGTTCTTGAAATTTTTAGGAAAACGTATCCGACAAAAAAGAAAAAACCCCGAAAAATACCTTTGACACCGGCAAACAATAGACACCGGTTGGTAATAAAAATCATAGGTGTCCCAGACACGTTGGAGCCGATCGTGAGGTGTCAATGAGCGTTCGGGATTATAGACTCTGCCGCAGCGTCTATAAGGCTAAACGACAAGTCGGTGGTGGTGGTGGTGGTGCTGCACCTTCGACGGCGGCGGCGGTTCGCGTAATCAATCTTCCGATATTGACACCGCCGCATGTGGAGTGGATCGCTAGACGTGCTGGCGTTCCTACACACCTACGCGTGTACACAATAATGTTTTCACTCTCTCGTTTCAGACTTGGACACGTTTCGGGAAAACTTACGGCATTGTGTTCGCATACCACAACGGCTATTATATTGTTTTGTCGCGCCGATTGCACAATGAAGAAACCATTTGGGGAGGGAACACAAAATGCTCAAACGTGTTCACGTAGGTGTGTCATTTATGGAATTTCGGAAACGGCTATTAAAGTTACCTTACGCGTACGTGACACGTGACTTGTAATGATGATTTAGATCACAGCAAGTGCCTCCCGCTAGGTAAAAACCATTTCCCTTGAACGCCGTTTTTTCTAATAGCCGTCAACCCCCTCTTACTCCGACAAACGTGTTATCGTCACTTAAACATTTTTTATCACAGTCCTAGTCTGAATCAAAAGTGCACGCTACTTAACACATATAGTTTAAATCATATTTATTTTTTTTTTTTGAAATTCGAGTGCTTGAATACATTTTCAATTGATTTTAAAGTGCGACAATACAAAAAGTTTTCTTTATTTCGCTGATAAAGCTTTAAATACAGATTTAAATCTAACACATACGTACAAATTATGATTTCTTTCAATCATTCTATACTCGATTCGACTTATAAAACAAGTTTAACAACAACAACGAAAAACATATAGAACATAAACGACCATTTTTTCGATTCATAAAGAATACAAATCAAACTTTTGTACAATATTCTTCTAAAATAAAATTATTGAATAATTCAGTGTCGTTATAAATCCTATTTGAATGTTTATTTAAAATTAAGTTGTTTAGATTAGATTCAAATCTTAAAGAATATTACTTCTCTGGCAGCCATATGAAGCGAGCCAGGTAGGAGCGTACGAAATATATTTTGTACTAAATAGAAGTAAATTATATTGGCACACGTTTTTAAATTTACCAAAGTGCTTATAGTTAAAATTTTAATTGGCAATGTAATAAAACTATCGTTGTTTTAGTAGTATCACAAAATTGTAAAATTTAATAAAATCATCTTGTCTGGAGTTTTCCACGCGACCAAGAAAAAGAAGGAGGAGAGTAGATAGCCAATGCGGTGAACGTATTTAATCCTACTCAGGTGAGGCGGTGGCAATTCAATGCCAACACACCTGGCCTCTGTGCAACATGGCGCCCGCCCGTCTTATTTTTTTTTTATATCGTTGCCACATCCGTCCCGAACCCCTCGTATATATTATACGACAATCGTCAACTCCTCACTTCCCCCAGCGTGTACAATATCCATTACAACAGTGTGCGTTTATTACCACAGGGTCCAACGATGGCGCATTAGCCGTGTAACGTATGCGCGAACACACACCCGACCGAAGCGCATACACGAGCGAGTGATTTTTATGGTCTGCCCTATGTGCTACGACATGATGTACGACAAAAAAAAATCAAGATCATAAATCACTAAACCCACGGTAAAAAAAAAACTTACTTAATTGGTGTTGTAATCATGAGCGCAATATGGAGGGGGTCTAGAGGGGGAGTCGTTAGCTCCCTCTAATTCTGCCGCAGCGCCTCCAAAAGTTGTATAAATTACATATAAATTTATATAGCAATATTTTTTAGAAATAGAGTTTGATGCCCAAACATTTCGTTCAAATTGTATTTAAAAGCATTCGAATGTACGCGTTACTAAAATAACACAATATATTTTCTCTAAATGATTTCAAAATAAAAAAACTTCATCTAAAGATGGATTAACAAAATAGTCTCTCTGCTCTATCAAAAGTCAATGTGTCGAGAAAATTTTGTTACTTTGAATTCAGAATATTATGGTTATCGATTCTTTTCATTTACTTATTTGGTAAACTGTGACTGTTAAACACCAAAACAGTGATTCAAGACTAAAGATATAATGTACATTGTCAAGGTTTTTCCCAATAAAAAATTACATTCGATCTACAACACAGAACTAATTGTTGACGTTTTGATAATAATTTGCCCTTCAACAAAATATTTTGTTAAGTTAAGACTTGTTTGTAGTTAACAGTTTACTAAATACACTTAGAATTTGCTCATAAAATACCATACATTTATAAAAATGTTTAATACAAGCCAGTAAAAGACGAATCGAACAACTTCTTCCCTATTGGTTTTCATTGGACTTGTATAAAAAAACCGAACTGCATGTACAAAAAATTAAATAAATAAATACGATAAATTTTTTGTTGACCGTTCGGACGTTTAAACTTCTACCAGACGATTTAAATACACTAATGTTTATGGTAAAAATTTAGCATAGGTTGTGTTGCAGCCATAACACCTGCGGTCTTTAACCTCGAAATTACTACAAGAATAAAAAAAATGTCATGATACGTTTAATTTTACTCAAAAAAAATCGTTTTTAGCAGTAAATTCAAAAATAAAATAAGGAAGAAGCTTAAAGATTAATTTAATGTCTGTGAATTAATTCGAATTAAATGGAAAAATGTGAATTTTACATTGCCCCAAAATCTGGTATTCATTAAGTGAAATGTATTTTGTTTGATATTATGTACTTTTATAAAACTACATATATTTTATAAATTATATCGTCAGCCGTCTAAACTAAAATATTTCTCCAATTCTTTAGATTTTTCTCAAATCGATGACGCAAATTAGTCTTAGTGTTGTATGCGATATAAAAAATCCTTACCTTATAACCACCAGTAGTAAGTCCCGCATTCCTCTTGGCCAACACACATTTCATTCTTAGAAAAAACGCACGTTCTACTTCAAAATCTAATCGAAAAGTAAATATTTAAAAATGGCATAATTTGAAAAACACATATGATATAACACAGTTGGCATACAGTATACGTACTACACAATTACTCATGCATAACTATGTTAATTACGCAGAAGTAAAACTTACTCAGCATCATATTGTCAGTGGGCATTAAATTTGGCGGTAAGTGATGTGGACTAAGCACAGATATCATTTCGTCGTGATCAGCTTGATGGATGTATTCGAATATACTGTTGCCAGTCAATTCCACCTGTTAATAGAATTTAAATAATTTTACAGTTTAATTACACGGCACATTTTATAAGAGCTGGTTTTATTAATTACTGGATAAATTAAAAAAAACGTGCATTTAAAAAATATTAGTACAAAGAAAGTGAAATTAATATTTACCTGTGAAAGACCTAAGTGAACCGATGCGGTTTCGGATATGTACATGATTTTTCCGTCACCGCCCACGACAAATATAAAACCGTCAAGGCTCTGAAAATGTACACGAAAGTCGAGTGTCAAAACATTTTCTTGTACACGTCTTGTTGTTAATTTAAAAATATATATTTTTCACAAACCTGTAATAAATGTGATCCTAGTTCTTTGATACAAGCTTCTTTCACGTGATTAAGCGGAGTTGCTGCACCCCATGCGTCTCCCAGTCCTTAAATTTCAAAACGACTTGTTTATAGTTTTATTTTTTTACAAAAATTTCCGCGGTAAACACACCACGTCTCTAGTATATACTTACCATCAGGAAAAACATGTCTCATTTTCAAATAGCTAGTGGTCAACCGAATAACGGAAGCTTTATCCAGTTGGCTGGTGATGGCCGACGGCAACGGTAAAAGTTTTGCCAATTCCAAAAATTCTGCGTTCTCGTTCTCCCTACGCGTCCTGGCGGCATTTCTACTCCGCTCTCTCATTTCTGAATAACATAAACATAATAATAAAAAATTAATTATTTATCGTTGAAAAAAAATTTGTTGCACAACTAGTGTATACAAGAATACTCATTTACCGCCCGCGTGCATTTTAAGTAATTTTTTTTCCTCTTATACAAATAACACCCACTCGCAAATCAGCGTAAAATATTTGAAAACAAAACAACTAAAGTACAATAGACGGTATAATACGATTCAGAACGAAATTTAATAGCGCACAAAAAAATTTAACCGACTCTCTACTTAATGGCGTTTTCTTTTATTTTTTTATCATACAACAGCACCGACTCTGTGCGAATACTGCTCAAAACTATCGGAACTAAAACATTAATAGGACTCCACATAGTGCGGTTTGTTTACTTAACCAACCTTGACATCGGATTGCGTGGAAGAATATTTGTAAACATTAAGTCTTATTTCCTAGTGTTTCTTACAGAGTGTTGATACTTAGATCTAAAAAATATTCATTGTTAACCTCGCGTATTTATTAATTACCGGACAAACGACAGGTCATTTCCCTTTCAATTAAATTTTGAACTCTGCGACATACTTTGTACGCGGGGGCGGCTCCACTCAGAGCGTATGACTTCAAATCAGAAATTTTTAATCAATTAGATTTTGGTTAGCAAAGTAATTATCGAGGTGCATGGAAACATTATATTTTCATATGTTGGAAATAAAAAACTAGATGATGGATTTATTATATTTGTAAATAATTTATTGTTAATAATTTTAATTAAATATCTCATCATTTAATTTTAACGATTATAGTTTTTATAATTTTGGAAACCGAGTTTAAACTATTTATTTAACTAAATGTTTATGGTTAATGTAAAAAAGTTCTTAAAATAATTTCACTGTACTTTGCATTAAATTTAAGAGTTAATAATGAACAACAAAAGCCAACTTCAATAGGTAATACCAAACGAAATGAAAAATTATTGTTGTGTACAATAAAGTGAAATTTAATATGATTACCTATACCTTAGTTAAAATGTGTAAAATATACATATACATTTTATTTTATTTAAAACGACAAAGGAAATTGTCCGCATGATGAATCACGTTAAAAGTCAATATAAAACAAATAAATAAATAGCGATTAATACAATGTGAAAGACACTGTAAACATATGGACATGAGAATAGGTACCAAATAAAATTTTATGTATACGTAAGTAAATTTAGTATTGTTGAGTTCAACGCACTTCTTCTGTAAATAAATCGAAATGGTAACACATTTACACAAGAAAATAAATTTTCCTTCATTCACACTGTACACATAACACTAGAAACTTAATTCCAGTTAGTGGTTAGAGTAAAAATTTTATTTTGACTTCTTCTTCTTCAAAAAAAATTTAATAATAATTTCAATTTATACGGACTTTTTTTTCGTTCAAAATTAGGTAGTCGGTGTGTAAAATATCAGAAANTTCAAAAAAAATTTAATAATAATTTCAATTTATACGGACTTTTTTTTCGTTCAAAATTAGGTAGTCGGTGTGTAAAATATCAGAAAAAATTTAAGGTGCTTAATATTTGTTCTGCGATAAAAATGAACAGTCAGAAAATCAAGTCAAAGATGCATGTTAATTGTACAATAAATAGAAGTAATAAATACAAGTAATAGTTAATTTAATTTATCGTATACTAATATACTGTATAATTTCATTTTTGATTTATACGTTATATATAAATGAAATAACTATATACAATTCAATAGAAATCCGTCTACTTATCAATTATTAAGTATATTTATTTAATCCAAAGTTTAAAATAAAAGATATAAAGATCGGTCAAACATGACAATTCGGTCAGTCTACGGTTCCATAAACAATTATACAAATTACTCGATATTAAGCCAACACAAAAGTACTTGATAAATTAATATTATTTATGTTACCAAGTTAAAACATAAAAGAATGACACTGCAGTATATCAATTGTGTTTTAAAATATTATTCAAAACAATTGCTATTATTACATCATTTATACGGTAAATGACCGGTATTACTAAATTTTACAATTTAATCTCGTGTCTCACAAAAGACATACACAGTAACGTAGACTAAAAATAGAAAATATATAAATCTAGCGATAAAAATATTAAATCAAACTCGTTAAAGATAATTTGATCTAAAAACTAAGATTAATATTTAACTCTAGATTTCAAAACGGAGTACATTAAAAATAAATAGATAATTTCAATAATTTCCTTCAAAGTTCAAATAACATTCATTTAAAAACTATAAGCCAACCGTTTAAATGAGTATTTTATAACTGAAAAAACAACAAAGCCTATTGTTGATGTACAAAAAAAATTTTTTGGCAACCACCATGGCAGACAATTCGTTAAGCGTTTACGATGGTAAGGAGGGGGAGAACTAAAGTCGTAAGTCGTATGTCGCACGTGTACCGCCGTCGTCGTTGCGGTGACGCAAATATTGCTTCTGGTAGAAACGTGATTTATCTACTAACGATCAAAATTCGTTTAAACGCAAACGTTTCCAGACTCACGTACTTGAATAATATTTTGAACGCAATTTTGTTGATAACGAAAAAAAAAAAAGTGAAAAGAAAAGGCTAGCAAGTGTAGCCGTGCATTAGCTTAGCCGTCGCGATAATACGGTGTCATGATGATTGCAAAGCAGACAAAACAAGAAAAAAATACGCACATAAAAAAATAGTAGTAAGTCAATATTATGAGTCATTCGGTTAAAAACAGCGCATTTATACCTTGTGGAACCGGGATCGCAGATTTTCTGTAACATTTCCTCTTGGTCTTCATTTTTAATAATTCTTTCTGACACATAACTTGTGTGATGCCTTCTGGACGAGTGCGCTGTATGAACACTTAACTGTTTTTTGGATTTGCTCGAGTTTACACTAGATGTGGTGTCTAGCTCATTCCTCTATGTACGGTATCACTATACTGGCAGTGGAATCGAATGCGATTCTTAGAGAAATTTCGAAAATAATAGACGCGGGGTGTTTACAGGTACGGTGATAATTGACCGCGGGGTGGAGGGGCTAAAAAAGGTAGACATAAGGTCGCCGCGGCCGTTGGGCTCCTCGCAGTCTGGCTGACCTGTGTGGCTTTTGTCTACTCGTGAAACCCTTCGGGATAAGTCACCGGTCGAATGGACGCGTTTTATTGAAAGTCCTCTTTTTTTAAAAACCCAAATAATTTTTTTTGTTTACATTTCGTACATTGTTATATTTCTGAGATATTGCAGTAGAACACAACATTTTTACAGGTAAAACTATATATATTGGAGAATATGAGCATAGTACATGTACGTTTGTATTTATTATTTTACATATTTAAAACATGCTACTCGATAACCTAGCAGAACATTATTTTTTTCAATTTGTCGTTGCTTACCGGTTTATAGTTATACAGTTACAACCATATACAGAGTGAACCAGATTTACGGACAACTCTTGAATTTTCGGACTAATTTTAACAACATTATTGTTTATTTCTAATAAGGAATATAAAATTATTTTTAAAAAACGTTCAATTCATTTGAAATTCTAAAAATTGTTTAGTACAAAAAAAGTTTTATGTTTTACAGTTATGATAATATATTGATAGGCAAATACCGCGGGTAGGTGTAGCTCATACTGTTTTATGAGCACATGATTCATTAAAATGTTATGAAAGGGCTAAAAATGACTATTTTAAAATTTTGAAAAAATAAATTAAAGTTTATTTATTAGAGACAAATGAAAAATATGTTTTCAACGTAGTCTAATGTACTGCGAAATCAATATTATATAAAAAGATGTAAGAGTTGTCAGTAAAATCTGGTTCACCTGGTTTATACAGAGTGATTCTTTTAACATTAGCCACTTGAATTTACCCAAAATTATAACAATATCGAGACATTTTTTTTCTGGCATTTTTAATTTTATAAACTTCTTAATTTATCTACCATTAGGTACTTTTTCGGTTCTTCCCTAATTTTTTATAACAGTGCAAATTTAATTTTAATTTTCAATAGCAATATACATATTAAAGTAGCTTACACAAAAGAAAATTGTTTATTTATGAAAAAAATAACTAGTGGATAACAACTTTTGATCCATTATTTCGGAATTCACTACGATTTTGATATATAGACTGGGGAGGGTGATTATAATTAAGCATGATGTTGCTATTTAAAAATATTAAATTTATAAATTCGACCATCCATGTTCTCTTAATGGTGAAATATTTCAATTCAAAGTTTGATTGTAATACTTAAGAAAAATAAAATTTTGTTTTTTTTACTAACGTAGAACTAACTTTAGAATATTATTGTAAATAAAAAATAATATAAAACTTTTAAAAGCAAGTTAAACGTCTTTAAACGTGTGTGTTTTCCAGTCTACGATTATTTTTTATTACATTTATTTATTATTCTAATTAGTGAAACTAATTAGTACAAACACTAATTAGTCATCTCATATAATCATCGTAATACCAACGTATTATCTAACTACGAAAAGAAAATACAATCAATTACAAATATAAATGATGGCATAATTTTCTTAAAGACTACAATGAATAATATTCGTTAAGGCGTTAAATTAAGAACAAATTATGAACTTAATTTTCTATTTTAACTCGGTAAAATATTAGACATGGTAATAATAGGTCGTAGTTAAAACATTACACAAATGATAAAATTGAAGATTTCTATAGTTTTATCTAATAGGACAATTCACATGGAACTGTTCGGCATTTTAAAATTGGAATCCATTCGTTGCTTACGAAAAACATTCGGGCAGCGTGTTGTCGTGTATTGAGATAATTCCGGCGCACGTTCAAAATAAAAAAGATCAACCATTTTAATGGTACAGCACTCAGGAAACGTGTATGGAGCAACCCATCAGTTGTGTTCAAGTGTATACCGGAATAAGAAAAACACTTTATTCTCCCCCAGTGTCGTTATTCCCCAAGCCCCATTACACAAGCGTTCATACGGGATTTGCAAAATGTAATTCAATTGCCAATGGGCGGTAAAAATCACTGTAACCCTTCGTGATCCCTTTAGTATATATGTACTTAAGTATCATAAGACGTCTCTGCATAAGTAGTGTTGTCACATTAAAAGAATAATCCTCGCAATTATATCCATCGAATGGTTAAAAAACAATATTTACACGAATGAGAAAATAAAGTTTAGAGTTGACGGATTACACATTAGTGTTCGGAATATTTACAGAGTGATGATTATTATCTATTGATAATTGAATAATTTTAAATTATAATTTCTATTATCAATGGTATGAATATGAATTTAAATTATAAATTAAGATGACTGAAATAATTACATTTTATATAACATTCAAGTTCAGACAATAGTGACAAATACAATTACTTTAATTTTGAATGGTGTCTCAGTGTGTATGCAGTTTATAAATGTCATAAACACGTGTTAAGCTTATAGTTTATTTCTTGATTGTCACAAATATGTACATAGGTGCGGTTTTTATGGCGACACACTTGATCATTTAGCAAGGTTAGGTTTAGCCGAGAATAAGTACAGTGACATTTTCTCCGAATTTCATCGAAGCACAACATTGCTACGTTTTCAAACATTGTAAAACCACTCAAGATTTAAGACAAGCGTGGATAATTATTTTCATTTGGTGAGCTGTTAAAATTAAAATAACAATAATACATATATTTTCCATATTTCTTAAAAAAATTTTTGAAACTTGAAATTAAAGCTTATTATAATTTGAACGACGTTATGTCCTAACTTGTCGTTATTAGTAAATTTGCTTAATTATTGAAATGTAAGCTCGTCATGTTTGGGATTCAAAAATAGATTTTTTTAATGAAGATACCAGGATTACATATCATACATCACACGTGTGAATTTTTAAAAAAAAATTTACTAAAACAAGATCAACACGGTTAAAAGATTTGAAACACTGTAGCGTCCCCCTATCCGCTCCTGTAGTTATCATCAACAATAATGTAAAATCTATTATTTTAGTCACTGTAAAAATAGTTAAAACAAATATAATAAAGAAAAGTTTACATGACGTACAGTTTCAGCAAACAACACTAAAGCAAATATATTTATGAGGATCAAACACATCGCTTCTCTAAACACGTGCCATTATTTTGTCTACCTACTGTTAAGTATACATTTGCTGATGTTTGATGTTGGTAATCTGTCTCGAATGTGGATTTATAATGGACAGTAGTAAAACTAATGTTAACTCTAACATTATTATTGGACCAGTACTTTATAGGAAGTTTAAGGAGTGTTAAAACCCAACTGGTTGTTGAAAATCAATAATAAATTGAAAATCAAAGCACAGCATAAAATACATTATAAATAAGTAAAATTATTTAAATTTTGTTTAAGGCGCATAAATAAATAAGATAAATTTGGTATCCTTTCAAATATTTGGCAAGTCTATTGCAAACAAATAGATGATAAAAAAATATCAACAAAAAACTTTTTGTAATGATCGTACCATTTAATTTTAGTAAAGCTATAAATACAATTAAACCCTAAAAACAAATAAGTTATGTTTTAAAAAATATATATATTTGTTTCTGTTTATTGTCACATTAAAATTTTTAACTAAATGGGTTTATACAACAATACCATAATGGGTGTACCATTATTTTTACAGTGTGTGGACAGATCCATAAAACAATGATAAATTATATCACGTTGGATAAAGAAATTTATTATAAAATATCAATCGTGGTGTATTCTTAAAAAATGGAATAAATTTAACGACTGAAAATCATTAAATATTTTTTCTATGTTGTGATAAAAATGAATTAAATATTTATTTTCCGAACCTAAAAATGTATAATATCTATGACCTGTAAATAAATATAAAACATTAATAAATAAAATAAGAACTTCATTTTTAGAAAATAAGAGAGAGAAATTTTTTTTAAGCTACGACATTTTTTAATGTGTAACATTTAAAGCTGCAGGTTAGACCAGCTGTTGGCGTGGAGACTTTTCCGCTTAGCTCGGCGATCCTCCCACCCTCTTTCATCATATTGTACTCGTACACCTACTGAGTATTCTAAAGCAGATAGTATGTTAAAAGTGAAAAAATGTAAATAAAGTTTTAAATAAAAATTTTGATAAAGGTAATATACCATTATTTTGGCCAAAGTTTAGATTCTATATTTTCGCTTGGCATGTTTTTACTATTTTTTACGTATTTTTTAAGGCATATTAGTTTTTTTTTGTTTAACCTAAATATTACTATTATTATGTTTTATACAGTTATTTATATAAATTATAATTTATATTACATATACAGCGTCTCATACTTAACTTTATCAAATACATTAATAGACTAAATATTATTCAAACAAACTGAAATTTTAAATCCTCCAATTATAACAAAGCAAAGAAAAAAGTTAATTAAGTAATAAAAATTTATTGGACATAACATATAATTATTTATAACAATAATTAAAATCATTATATTACACGAGACTTACTATTTATTTAAATAAAATTTTGTATTAATGTTAAGAGCTAATAACAATAGTAAAATTGTCTACCATAGAGTATCAGATTTGTTGATTTATATATAAATAACTATTTAAATATAATTTAATTAATGTAAATTTTATCATAAATTCCGTCTCAAATAGAATGTAAAATGAAAGTTGGAAAGTTGAAAGTTAACTGCCATACAAAAAATGTCTGCTAAAAATAGAATAGAAAAGAATAACAACAATAATGCAATAAAAGTGTCGCTTATAAAATGTGTACCAGAAATAGACTAAACCGACATAACTAACAGCATACATTTGATATATTCAATTCCATTTACAATACTAATGGTCGATAAATAACAAATAGGAAAATAAAACAGCCCGAAGAGTCTATTAATAGGAATAATTTTAGTTTATGCGAGAGACAAATTCTTATAACCGTTTTCAGCAAATGGAAAAAGTATTTAAAAAACGGCGAAAAATTTATTGATAATTTTAATGCGATGGACAAATATTTGAGAAATGAAATACTCAAGTCAAGCCAGGTAAAAAGAGTGAAAAATTTTAATTAAATGTAAGTTCACAAGCAAACTAACAATGTAGCTTTGATAAGCATTTGAAAGTTTTCAACGGTCTTTTCCTTTTAATTATATAAACTTATCA